GAGATCTAGAGGAAGCTCCTGGCACCAGGCTTCGTACCAGCTTAGCTCCAGCTATTGCAGCCATTTGGGGAATCAACCAATGGATGGAAGACCTCACTCATTCTCTTTCCTGCTATGTGTGTGTGTGTGTGTCCTTCTGCCTATAATTCTGCCTTTCAAGCAAAAATAAATCTTTTTAAAACGATGTGGAGAAAAGGAAACCCTTGCCCACCCTTGGTAGGAATGTAAGTTGGTACAGCCATTGTGGGAAACGTTGTGGAGACTCCTCAAAAAGTAAATGTAGAATGGTTCTGTGACAGCAAGTCCTCTCCTGGGTCTGTATCTTCAAGGGAATGAAATCACCATGTTGAAAACATGTGTGCACACGCATGTTTGCTGCAGTGCTGCTCATAACAGCCGGGAAGCAGAAGCGACCTAAGTGGCCATTCACTGATGAATGAATGGATAAAAGAAATTGTGCACATATCGAGTGCTATTCAGTCATAAGAAGAATTAAATCTTGTCATTTTCAACAACATGAATAGAATTGGAGGTCATTTTTCTGGCAAAATAAGCCAGGCACAGGAAGCAAATACTACATGTTCTTTACTCTTGTGTAGAATCTTAAGAGTATTTCATGAGTGTCAAGAATGTAATGGTGGTTACCAGAGGCTGGGAACAGTATTACAGGGAAGGAGAGAGGGATTAGAAAGGATTGAATAATTGGTAGCAAGTTATAGCTCTGGTATATATTGTATAACAGGGTGACTATAGGAAATGACCATGATTGGCTTATTTCTCTCAAAAGACCTAGAAGAAGGGATTTTGAACATTTTCATCACAAAACAATAGACTTTGAAATTAGAAAAAGCCCATTTCTAATTAGAAAAGTCCATTTGTTTGCAAGTAGTTGTTCTTCTATTGGTCTGCTTAGCTGGTGGGTAAAGGCAAGACATGAAGATAATAGAGTGCTCTTTGCTGGGTGAATGTGAATGTCATCTTTGGGCCTGAAGAACTTGAGGATGTAATATATGCTTCAAAAGGGACATGCCTACAAATTGCAGGTGTTGATCCCAGTGCTGACCTTTGTGGTCAGTGCCAGCACTGGCTTGGCACTGGCTCCCTTATTCAGACCCATAGAAAAGCCAAGAAGTGAAACGATATGTTCCCTCCCCCATCATTACTCAGCATCGTTAGCAGAAACTCAAGTGTCAAGAGAAACCACAGCACTTCCCATCCAAAAATGCACTCTCTCTTACTGTTAGAAGTCTACTGTTTTCTAGTATTGTTTCAGAACTGGACCAGCTTGAATATTTTTGAGCACTACTTTTTTTTTTTTTTAATGCTAACTCTTCTCAGTAGCTGGTCTATACTTATTGCCAAGATTCCAAAGTTCTTAAACTGGAATATGTCTGAGGGTCATCCAGGAGCTGACAAATAGTAGATCCATGGCTTCCACCCCCAAATAAATGAGTCTGAGGAATCCATTTTAGTTTTTAAACTGTTTAAAAAAAGATTTATTTGTTTTTATTGGAAAGGCAGATTTACAGAGAGAAGGAGAGACAGAAAGATTTTCTGTCTGCTGATTCACTCCCTAAGTGGCTGGAGCTGAGCTGATCCAAAACCAGTGGCCAGGAGCTTTCTCCAAGTGTCCCACACAGGTACACGGTCTCAAGGTTTTGGTCCATCATCTACTGCTTTCCCAGGCCTCAAGCAGGGAGCTGGATGGAAAGTGAAGCAGCCAGGACACAAACTGGTGTTCAAATGGGATCCCAGCAGATGCAAGTTGAGGATTAAGCCACTGAGCCATCCAACTGGGCCCCCAGTGTTCAAATTTTTAATTAACTTTTAAATTTTTTTCAAGAGGCAGAGATAGCAGAAGCAGAAGGAGACTGACAGGCAGGCAGAGGGATCTCCCATCCAATGAACCTCAAATGCCTGCAGCCCTTGGGGCATGACCAGGAGCCAGGGCCTTAGTGGGTCTTGCACATGGGTGATAGGGCCTTGAGTGCTTGAGTGAACACCTGCTGCTTCTGAGGATCCACCTTAGTAGGAAGCTGGAATAGGAAGCAGTGTTGGGACACACACACAGGTACTTTGATAAGGAATAGAATAGCTCAATTGGCATCTTAACTTATATGCCAAACACCTGGCCCAAGAATGTGCATTGTACTACAGGGCACAGGAAATTCTGATTTGAGGGATCCGCAGTTACCTTCAAGATGAGAACCTCAGTGCTGTGCCCAGCTAGTGACACCTTTTGGCATGCACTGTGTGTGTTCCCTTGGTAAGTCAAGCCCTGACTGTCTATTGGAGCTGTGCTTGAACAATTTCCTGCTTTATAAAATTAAAATGGGAGGAATATGTGTTTAGGAGTGAGAGAGGCCTAGACATAGTGGCTGTGTGGGTTGCTTAATGGCTCAGAAGCTCTGTTTTCTTGTTGGTCAAATGTTGACAATACTGGGAGACTCCACGTTTGTCCAAAAAAACAAGAATAAAAGGTACAGTTTATTTTGTTGAAAAACATTTGAAATCTGTGTAAATGAGGGCTGTTCAACGAGTTCATGGAAAATACATATTGTTATGAAAAAGCTAAACATAGGTTTCAAAATGTCTTTGAAACAAAATAAGCTTTTAATTCCATTTTTCCCCTTGAGCTTCTTGAATTTCTTCTGTGGTATCCACCTCACTAAGAGAAAGGAAAGATGAAGATGAAACCAAGAGTGAACACCTCCCACAGTGTCTGGAATTTAGTAGAGGCGCAATCAATACTACCTTCCTTGGTTCTTCGAGGAAGCAAAAATTAAAACACACACACACTCACACACTCACATACACACACTTGCACTGGAAGCACATTTCTTACAGGAAATGATTTCTCACTGTTTGGTTTGGGCCTTAGCTTAGATCAGGTAAAAGTCAGTGCTTGTTTAGAGATCTCGATCACATACCCCTGGCTCATTTCACTGCAAAATACTGAGTTCTATTGCAAATACAGGTTTTCCAGAGAGATTCCAGCAGAGCAATAAGGAAACACAGGTGAAAAGGTGTGATGGTGCCTTTGCTGGACTTTCCAGGATGCAGCATCAAGAATGTGGATCGTATGATCCACCTGAGACACACACTTGCTTTGAGTCCACATCCCACAAGAAGGACCTTGTTTCCAAAGGTAGCCAGTAATGGGTTCTTTGGACTGTCTTGTTCTAACTCTTTCCAGGAAAAATGAGAATGTTACAGAGGTCTCCAAGAGACAATGGGCTATTGTACAGGAGGTGTAAGTGAGCCCCTTGCTGGGAGAGCACTTTCTACGTTGAATTTCAGCAAACTCTGCCCACATCTCCTCCCCCACCTCTGCCCAACCCTGTTTCATCATTTGAAAAAAAGAAATATTTCATCTTTTTTCTTTGGATATGTTGACAAATTTGAGGTCTGCTCTTTATGTCCTGTATCACACTCACTTAAGGATATTTCTGTAGGTCTCATTGGTTTTGGCCACCCAAATTCAACATGGATTTCAACAGCAGAAAGGACAGGCGAGCTGGAGCTGCCACTGTCTCTTCTCTGCCTTTGCTGTTGACTGTGCAGATGGGAGGCTGGATGGGCTTGGGGACCGGCAAGGCATTCCTGAACCTCCTGTTCTCTGAAGGCTCCACCCAGGAAACTGACAGGGTAACCCCATCAGCCATGCCAGGTGACTCTAGGTTCTGAAATCCTCTGGAATCCTCTGGTCTGATCCCTTTTGTTTTATGGGGAACCTGGCATTCAAAGGAAACCACACCAGGGTCCCAGATTTTCTTCTTAAAGTGACCTCCTGCAATGTGTGGCTCAGTAACTGCTTCCTAGAAGCCTTGTAATAGGCCTCCAACAGGTTGAACAAGTTGCCAAATTGAGATCAGGAGCTACTCTCAGGTAGAACGGACTAGAAACCAGCCAGTGTCTACTAATTAATGCATAAATAAATATTGATTGAGCTCTTTTGGTGCATGAACATTCTGCCGTATCGCTGGGACATGGGGAAGGGAAGAAACAAGGAGAAGTACAAGCAGAAAAAAAAAGAAATATAAACTTGCATTAAATTCCTTCCTCAAAGAACTCACAATCTACATTAATTTTCTGCTGGAAGATGCTTTCATTTTTTTTTTTCTTAAGTTTTTTTTTTTCTTACTGAAATAACAATTGCACAGGTGGGGGTAGAGAAGATCTTCCTTGTGCTTGTTCATTCCTAAGATGACTCCAGTGACCAGGGCTGAACCAGGCTAAAACCAGGAGTGTGATCTGAGTCTCCCACACAGATGGCAGGGACCTAAGCACTCGATCCATCTCCCACTGCTTTTCCCAGGCCATTAGCAAGGGGTTGGTTCAGAAGTGGAGCTACTGAGACATAAACTGGCTCCTATCTGGGATGCCTACATTGCAAGCATACAACTTTACCTGCTATGCTGCAATATAGATCCTTAGAAGATGCTTTCAAAAATCGAAACAGAGATGTTGCAAATGTGTATTATGAGATAATGAATGTCATTGTTTGGTTAATGGAACAATTGTGTAGTTTAGAAGAGTACACAGGGTCCACATCTGTATAGTTCCACACAGCAGACTCAATTCATGCTTGTTGAATCACTAGGTAGCTCATTTGTTGTGGCCATTGGCTAAGGCACCAATGTGGGGACCTGTGTCTTGTGCTGGAGCTGCCTGGGTATAAGTCCTGCCTCTGGCTCTGATTCTAGCTTCCTGTTAATGTGCACCTTGGAAGGCACCAGATGGTGGCTCAAGTAGGTGGATCTCTGCCACCCATGTGGGAGACCCTGGTTGAGTTCCCAGCCCTTGTCGTTGTAGGCATCTGGGGAGTGAACCAGTTGATAGGAAATGTCTGCCTTTCTCTATACCTTTCAAATAAATAGAATATGTTGAAAGTTTAGTATGTGGCTTATTTGGTACAAAAATGATGGGTTTATTACTGCATCTGCTGGGAGTCCTTCTGTAGAATGCTTTCTTCTCACTGTGCCTGTTGTTTATTCCAGTGGCCCACCCTCAGGACCCTCACCACCCAGCGGAGAAGCCCGTCATCCACTGCCATAAATGCGGAGAGCCATGCAAGGGCGAAGTGCTCCGCGTCCAGACCAAGCATTTCCACATCAAATGTTTCACCTGCAAAGGTACCAGACCCACACCACCCAGCTCAGTGCCAACACGGTCCCCAGCTGATATGGGAATGCCCTCAGGAACCCTAGGGTCATTTGCCTTGAGGTAGAGATTGCATTAGACTTCAGGGGCAAAGCCAGTCCCTGCAAGAATGGAGATCCACAAGATTGTGAGTGCTTATCGAGATCCCTGACCTGGGTGGGGAGACTAACCCTGTGAGAGGAGTGAAAAATGCAATTTTGTATCAAGTCATTTTTAAAATTTGAAATGAGGGTGCCTTACTGCCACACTAACTATTTTCTAATGTCCATTTGATATAGGAAGACTAGAAAATCTGAAATATTGGGGTCTCACATCTTTAACTTCTATATGTGTGTGTGTGTACATGTGTGTGGTGGGGACATAGCAAGATGTAGATTAAGCAAAATAATTGGGAGTCCTCCAAACAAAGTCTACCATCCAAGAAACTACCAATCTGCTATCAATTTTCAATACCATTCCTCCCTTTGAAGCTCTTTTTAAGGTCAGAATTACAGAAAGACAGAAATTTTCTGTTAGCTGATTCATTCCCCAGATGGCTGCAGAGGCCAATGTTGGGCTAGGCAGACACTATAAGCCAGGAGATTCATTCTAGTCTCCCATATGAGTGGTAGGGGCTCAAACATGTAGGCCATCCTCTGTTACTTTTCCAGGCCATTAGAAAAAAGCTGGGATGCAAATAGAGCAGCCAGAACTTGAACCAGTGCTCATATGGGATGCGGGTGCTTCAGGCAACAGCTAAATGCCCTGTACCATGATGCTGGCCCCTTCTAGGAGCTTTAAAAGATTGGCATGTTGAAACAAAATATGCCATGCCATTCTGGGGCCTAGGTATGGCTGACTAGTTTAAAAAAGAAAAAAGGTAGAGGTGGAGCCTTATCACCATGTTGATAGGACAAACTGCACTTGAACTGAGGGCATGCCTGGGTAACTGAAGATTTAGGTGTACCTGCTGTGAACTAGGTGTCTTTGAGGATATGTAGCACCAGAAATTCAGCATTGCCATTCTAAGCTGTGCATCCATAGCCAAGCTCATGCTCTGGTAGGAACCCAGGCTACCTAGCTTTTCTGGAGTCTACAGGTGTTTTTGTTCTTGACTGGGCATAAGCTTTTCAAAAGAAAAAGTGCTAGCATAAGTGAGCTGGGTGGGCTTAGTGCATGGCTAGAGTTAAGAGCAAGATTTTGTTGAATAACGAGTAGAGGGAGGGAAATGGGTAGCTATGTAGGACAAAGGATACGTTCTTTATCCTCTGTTGTGACAAGTTTATCATATAACTAAATATTCACAATCAATTTTTAAGTGCCATGTACACATCTTATAGAAAGATAATCCTCCTGAAAATCCCTATGAGTTCATCAGACAAAGTATTTGGACAACCCAAGTTGGTCATCAGAAAATAATCAGGTTCACACCCAGGAGGATTGCTGACTGCCATCCCAATGTGGCCTGAGACCTGCACTTGTCACCCAGCAGCTCTGAAATTCACTCATCCCAGGTCTTAAATTTGTAGAATCTAGAGACATATACCTGTATGTGTATATATAGCTATATATATCAATAACTTAATTACAGAATGTTGGAGAAAAATAATGCTTTCTGGTTTCATCCAGTTTGACTAACCTGGAGTCAGCATTATATCTTGCTCTGTTTTTCCATATTTTAAAAAAGATTTTATTTGTTTTTATTGGAAAGGCAGATATACAGAGAGAAGGAGAGACAGAGAGAAATATTTTCCATCTGCTGGTTCACTCCTCAAGTAGATGCAATGGCCAGAGTCAATCTGATATGAAGCCAGGAGTTTCTTCTGGGTCTCCCACACAGGTGCAGGGTTCCAAAGCTTTGGGTCATCTTTTACTGTTTTCCCAGGTCATAGGCAGAGAGCTGGATGGGAAGTGGAGCAGCTGGAAAACAAACCAGAACCCATTTGGGATCCTGGTGGATGCAAGGCAAGGATTAAGCTACCAAGCTATCACACGGGGTCTCACACATTTCTTAAGTATGGCTTGAAGGATAGATTTGGTATGAAATAAATATGAATCACAAATAACTGCAGCTCTGGATGCATTTTGCATGCCCAGATAAAGATCCTCAGATCTGGGAAGTCCCTAGTCAGCACATCAGACGATGGACTCACCTATCGTCCCAGAAATTGAAAGTTTCTTTTCTTGCCTAGTTTTAATCTCAGGAACAAATGTAACTTAGTTATGTTGAAGAGTTGTGCCTATCCCTTAGTTTCATACAATAAATATGTTCCCCAAAAGTTAAGTGTTTGCCTAAATTGAATCCTACATTAATAAAACACATAGGTATTATTTTTCAGTTTAACAAAATGTCCCTAAATTAAATGAATCATCTGTCATTGTAAAATTATATTTTTGCACACTTTACCTGTCACTGTTTTATGTCACTTTATCTGTCACACTTTACCTGTCACTGTTTTATGTCCCAGGTTTCTAGGATCTTCACTTCCCAAAAGTTCTGTAATGAGAGCCATGTGTGTAATTCTGAATCATATTATAGGAATATTAAAAGGATAAAAAGACTGATGCTATTAGTTTTAATAATACCTGTTCTTTAACCCTACACACCCAAAATATTTTCATTTCAGTACATGACTTATATAAAAATAATCAAGATTTTTTTTTTTAGGTTACTTTAACAACATTCCTGCATTTGGGCTAGCCACATTTCTAGTGTTCAGTAGGTTACTGGTTACAGTGCTGGACAGTGCAGTTCTAGGGTCCATGAGCTTTACATTCTGTTGTCCCCTCTCAAAATTCTTGCCAGCACTACATTCTTGGTCTCCTCTGGTGAGTGCTATACGTTTGCAGTGCCTCATCTACTGAGTATTGTTCCTTCCACTTGACAGAGTACTGCTAACACGAGCTAGCTGTGTTCATATGACTTTGCTGTAGGTCTGGAGGATTGGAGCGAGGTTATAGCACAGATGGGCCATCAACGGCTACTGTGTTCTCAGGCTGTCTCCAGCATGGTACATTTTTCATTGGATAAGGCCTACTTTTCATTCCTTAATTCCCTTCCTTCCCATTTCCCCTCCCTTTCTGCTTCTATGAGTAGACTTTGGAGTTATAGATTTTGGAAAAATTAAGTAAAAAGTACAGGCAGGCCAGGATCATTTTTCCTGCTCCAAGTCAGGTGCCATCTTGGCAGGACTTCCTCTCTCTGTATAGACTTTTCTCCCCTGCATCCCAGTAAGACCAGACCCTTAAGTTTCCCTTGATTCTCTATTTTTTTACATACCCATTTTTTCCCAAGTAGCAGCTGCCTTGTTACTAAGGAGTGCTATTTTCTTCCTAGCCCAATGGCCCAGCCTGTAGCTAAGTCATAACCTTATAGTTTGATTTTTTCTTCCCAGTATTTTGAAAGCAGAGTTGTGATATTGAGAGATATCCAGTCCCAGAACACAGAATGTGGGCAAAGTACAGCAAGTGCAGGTGCTGGTCAAGAACTAGCCGAGTGCACGGGAGGCACAGGCAGGTTCTGTGATCCCTGGGCAGCTGGACTTTCTCCCCGAGGTGCCCTCCTTCCCTGCACTCATGCCCTCTTCCCTCCCTTTTCCCTCATACCTACTATCCATGTTGCTTGAATGCGTTAGTGATTGCTTTCCACACTAAAAACCAAACATCTAAAATGCAAATACCTGTGTCAATAAAAAGTAGGGATAAATCGGGTTTTTTTGTTTTTTGGGTTTTTTTTTTTTTTTTGGTAAAAAATAGACCTTGCACTGACCATCTGATCTGAGCACTGGAAAAGCAAGAAAGTGGGAGAAGGTTGCTGTGGAGGAATTGAAGATTACAATACAAGTTTAAACAAATTTTGAGACTATGACTTACAGAGTTAACTGTAAAAGGACTGGGGTTGTTGCCATGCATATCCTGTTGGAAAGGCTTCCCACAGAGAACAAATGATCAATGTTTGGCACCTCTAAGTGTCTCTTTAAATTGAATTATGGCTATTTTTATTATGTATGGTAGTTTTTATTCTGATGAATAATTCTTTCCGATAATTGTTTAGCTTGAGTATTTTCCAGAATGATAGTCCATGTCATTTTATTTGCCAAAAGATTCTAGGGCATTTAGAAAAGATCAAGCCACAGAGTGGCTGCTTAGAGGATCAAAGAGACTATCACACTGAATTGTCTTATTTTCAGTGAGCCTTACCTATTGAAAATTACAAATACTGAGGCCAGCACTAAACATAGCAGGTAAAGACTCCATCTAGGGTGCCACTGCTCCACTTCCAATACCGCTCCCTACTAATGTGTCTGAGGAAGCAGCAGAAGATGACCCAAATGCCTGGGACCCTGCACCCACATGGGAGGCATGGAGACATATTTATTTATTTCAAATAAATAGATACATCTTCAAAGAAAATTACAATTCTTCTCTAGAACACAGCTCTATGCTGGGTCTTCTTCACATATATCATTAACATATGTCACTGATTTATCTTCACTTCTTATAAGAAAGCAACCTCATTGAGGTTGAGGTAAGAGTTTAAAATTTTTTTACTGGTCTGCTCCCTAAATGCTTGCAACAACTAGGGCTGGGCCAAGGCAAAACCATAAACTGTGAATGAAATCCAGGCCTCTCACATGGGTTGTAGGGACCAAAGTATTTGATCTGTGACTACAGCCTCCCCGTGTCTACATTAGCAGAAAGCTGGAGTCAGAACCTAGAGCTACCAATCAAACCCAGACACCTTTTTTTAAAAATTGATGTCAACCTGGAGAGAGAACAAGAGCATGATCTCCTATCTGCCAAGATATCCCCCCCCCAAGTGGCTGCAGTGGCTGGGACTTGGGCATCTCCTACGTCTTTCCCAGGCACAATAGCAGGGAGCTAGATCAGAAGTGGAAGAGCTGGGACTCAAACTGGTGTTCATATGAGATACCAATGTCACACACAGGACCTTTAACCCACTGCACCACAACAGCAGCCCCTCAACTTCAGG